GAATATCCTCGCAAAATCAACAATCTCTTCCTTTGTTTCTAAAATAAATCTCAACACTTAATTGTTGACGCATGGAAACTTCGACATTGTTTAAAAAGCTGAAATGTTTCTGTGTTTAACAGAAACAAAATATATTTCTTTAACCGCTGATATTTGGACAGCAACTACAAACAATTCTCCTTTTTTAAGTGTAACAGCCCACTGGTTGAAGGATGATTTTCAGCAGGAATAAGCTGTTTTGCAAATTGTTTCCTTTGAAGGTTCCCACACAGCTACACAAATCAGTGAACAGTTAAAAATTGTTCTTGAACAGTATAAGTTGACAAGTGATAAGATGTTCTTAGTACTAAGAGATTCTGCAGCAAATCTGGTAGCTGGAATTAGGAATTGCAACTTAGAAGCATTATCATGCTTTATACATACGCTTCAGCTGACACTAAACGAATGCATATTTTCTGAACAAGATGTAAAAATTATAATCACAGTTAATAGAAATATTGTCACACATTTTAATCATTCTGCTGTAGCTGTAATCAAATTAGAAGATTTGCAAGAAAAGTTAGGTTTGCAGAAACACAAATTAATTCAAGATGTTCCTACTCGCTGGAATTCTACATACTACATGTTGGAACAGCAAAACACCCTTGTCACATATGCTATAGATAATAAAATTCCTACGTTGAGCCCATATCAGTGGTCTCTCGTTGAAAAAATTGTTCTACTTGTAAAACCATTCAAAGAAATTACTGTGGAAAGACAGCAAACGGGAAGCCACTTTATCTTCAATAATTCCCACAATAGAGACCCTGAAATTATTCTTATCAAAAGCAAAGATCAGTAGTTCCTTTAGTGGCATTAATACCACAACAGAAGAACTAGAAAATCCAATTAAAAAATACATATATAGCATACATATATAGAATACAAGTCTTTATGCTTGTCATTTTTTATTCGATTCAAAATAAAATTTCAAAAAGAAAATATGGAAGAGGAAATCTCAATAAGAACTAAATTCTGAAGTTTCTACTTCTGAAGGTGATCAAGATGAAGGTGAATTTCTAAGTTTTTCTGATTTATTTGATGAATTAGCTTCTGGTAAACAAAAGAATGAAGAATAGCATGTTTTTAAAAAGAAAGAAAAAACGAGACGAACAAACGTAAATATGTTTCTAATTCTTGATCGTTTCGATCAAGAATTAGAAACATATTTACATTTATCCCTTTAACAATGACATAGTGACATATTTTTGTGGTGGAAAAGTTCAAAAGAACTTTTACCTAATTTGTGCAAAATAGCTATGAAATATTTAAGTGCCCCAGCATCTTCCATTGAAAGTGAAAAAATTTTCAGCACTGGAGGTAACATTTATGAGCCGGCAAAAAATAGGTTATGGCCTGAAAATGATGAAATTCTCATGTTTTTGCATTACAATTTCAGGGTTTTACAGTTTAAATATTAAATTTATATTTGTTTTATATGTTTAAACTTTAAACTTATAAGACAAATAAAAATTTAATTTTTCTTCTTAACCTATTCAATACTTTTTCTTATGTAAAGTTTAAACTTTATATTATACGTTATATTATACTTATAATATGTATCGATAAAAGGAATAATTTGATTAGTAAATTTTTTTTAATATTCAGTTTGTCATGTAATAAATAATAAATACAGTATATAGCAGAAATTTATTAGTTTTTATTACTAGCATTGTACGTAACATTGTAACAAAAATACCAAAATGTAAAATTGGCCGATTATCGAAACCGATTAATCGGGGGTAATNTGGTTTCTTCTAAACAATAAGGATGTGGGATATAATATTCACATTTACTAAATTTTCTACTAATAATGACAAAGGTTTCCACATTATCTGATTTACAGATCCATATCAGAAGTTATAGCATTAACAATTAATCCCACATCTTCACTATATTTAATTATATCAAGAATTAATTTTTAAAACAATCATCTGTTGAGTTGCTAGTATAAAAGTATGCAACAGTGTTTCCACCTTGTAAACCACTTAACATAAAGAACAGTGAATGAGTAGCCAAGCCTGTATGATTTAGTAATGTTACCTTGCCATAATATGTATTAGTACATATGTCATAATCAGTGCTTGTAATGATGTTTCATCCAAAATTAAAACACATTGATTTTCTTAAAATATAAGTTGACAATATGGAAACAGATAAAGAAAAGCAAACACTTTGTACAATATTCCACTTTCAAATTTTAAGTTTTCCATTCATCTATGTAAGGTTCTTAAAGATGGATAAGTCAGATTGCATTTGAGTAAGCTGTCATAACCTTTTGAACCCCAATCTCAATCCTAATGCTGTACATACTGTTTCATTGGACCATTTTTTAAAACACATTGATTTTCAAGAAATGCAGGCTAGCTGATCATCTTTAAATATGTCTTGTAGAGCTGTCTTAACTTTATCATTCTGGCAAGCTCTAAATTTTTGTATTCTATTCCTAATTAATCTTTTATCAACATTGATTAATTTAAAGTGTAATTTAGAAATTATTTTATCCTTTTTCAATATTACACTTTTTAACTCATCAATTATTTTATCTTTATCTTTACATTTCTCAAAACTGAAATCTTCATTGAATATTGTAAAATTGTCTTGTTGAAAATTATCTGTTGCTGGTTCATAACTTGATGCTTGTTCAACAGAACTTGCATCATCTTTTGAAATTTTACAAGTTTTTGAAGAAAGTGGATTTCTTACTGGTGGAACCCTTCTAGATTTTTTAAGTGGTGCATAAGAAAATATGGAAGGGACAGCATTATGCTTCAATTTTCTAGTTCCATCAACTCTAGTTTTTTCCCACTGATCATCAGGAAAATGTACCTGAAAATCAAATTAAGTGTATCATTTCAGATATTAAGACAGCACATTTTAATTGAAACAATTTATGCTATTACTTATTTAAGTGCATGGAACTTATGGTTTGCAATTGCATAATTATAAGTTACATGCAATTAAATAAGTAAACTATATCAATACTCATCTTATGTATACTGATTTTTTTATTTAAATTTTACGCAATTTGGACTGTTTTACGAATGAATATATCATCCGAATATAAAATAAAACTTTTACATACATATACAATTGTTAATACTTCACTTACTTCACATAAATAGCTACTGTCGGTTGCTTTCCAGTTTTCTCTTTTCACTTTTATTTCCCAAAGCTTACGACGTGCAGGATCTTTCGGAAAAACTTTCATCAAAAATCCTTTCTCGCTGCGATTTGTGCAGCCGAAAGCGGCACATCCAGTCATACTCTAAGAATTATTTAAGTATAAAATAAGTTAAACTAAATAACTTCTTACTTAATTTAAAAATATCATTATATAACAACTCGTATAAAACTCAGAAACTTAATATTAATATAAATAAACAGTACATCGTCTATATATTCTTAATATCGCTAACCTTTGATTAATTTTAATTTGTTTGCAGACAACGAACGTATAGACGATTATATTTATCTACGAAGCTTTCGTTCAAAACCCGCTAACACGTTGTTGTTTGGAATAATAATGGTGGCTTAAAGTCATGTGATCATAAACCGCCAATAGCAGAGTCGGTAGATTAACTGGTCTTTCGACTACCTATCTTCGGTCGTACGTGCGGCTAAATATCCAGATGACACAAAGCGCTGATTGGTCAGCTGAATGACGTCAACCCACCGAAGTATCTATATATATAACTCATTCAACGGATAGCGAACAAAGACTTGGAACGGATTATGTTGGTTAACCGATCACCCACTGTATTTTCAATCATTTTTACATAAGTTTAAATTTTTTCTAATGTAAAGAAAAAAGCGTGCTACCTGCATGATGGAGGAAATGTCTTAAAACTGATAAAAATTTAAAGTAATATTAAGAAAACTTAAATCCTATTTTTTAATATTTTTTTCTTTCTAGAAAATAATTTGCAAAATTCATTTCTATAATTTTACTAATATTCCACTGTTATTATCTATCAGGAAGTATTTATAACAAGAGTTTCGGATCGTAGTTAATTGTGCTTTATTCGTAATTTCTATTAGTTAAAAATAAAATTACGTTAAATTTTTAGGATAAATGATTTTTTCATAAGCAACGTCAGTCTTTTCGCCCGATCCGAAGAGTAAAATAAAACGTTTATCATTTGTTTATCGTCCCGTAAAAGTGAAAATATATTAAATTTATGGATAGACATCTTGTTTAAAAATGAATTTTTCTATTAAAAAATAATACTGTAAGATTTGAGATGGAATTATGAATAAAACAAAACATCGGGGACTTAAAATTTGATATTCTTCCACTGAGAGAAGTGCTATTATTAGTAATTGAACGTTCTGTAATATGCATAAGTATATAGCCTAAAAACACATTATTATTTGCATTAATTATAAATTTATTACTCACATGACATACACAACCATAATATTATCTGCATAACATTATTTTGGAAATGAAACTTAAGGTAGTTATAGAGAAAAACAGGGTTCAAAGACTAAAACCTCCTCTTACTCACAGCCAATAATAGGTGGAGGAGACGTAATGTTTGCTAGGGGAAACTACTCGGCGTATTTTTTAAAGAAAAAATCTCATATTCCTTTAAACTGCATAATTACCTCTTTTTTTAACAGTGCAACTTTAAAATTCAGTACGTACTTGATATCAGAACACAATCTCTAAAAGCAGTATGTCTGGTTACTTTAGCTATTTTAGAACTACTTTAAGTCTTGAGGACAGCCTAACAAAAAAGCTAAAACCTTATATGCACATGAATTTTGGTGGTTTATGGAGTATATGTAACTTCTAAAATTTATTATTTTGTAAACAAATTACAACATACTACATAATTGCAGGATAATTTCTTATATGCAGTATTTTTCAACATTAAATAGAAATATATTTAAGTATAGTTTTAGTCCTCTCCTTTGTTCTTTGTTTCTTCTTGCTTCCAGAACTTTCCTTTCTAACTCTTGGGTGGTGATGAACGATTCTTGGAATCACTGAAACCACGGAGAACAATAAAAGAAAAGAGGCCCTGAGGGCCGGTAAGAGATCCTTTGGCCCAGGCCTCAAAGTAGACAGACGTCGAATATGGTGCTCCAGGTCACATATGGTAATGACTGGAGAATTCGAGTGTCTGAGAAGAAAATAGGATATCATAGTTACGATAAAAAGTGTAGCAACTAGGTACAAGGAGAAACCTAGTGAAGACGACGGCGAGAGACTTTTCAGAAAAGTTCCACGTGGCATCCCACCCAAATTGTGAAGTCCAGCTAAACTCCGGGTATTTCACTTTCTACTGTATTCTATTTTCCCCAAATTCTCTACTCTCCTTACCATCTCCTTTCTTCCCCTTAGTTTTTAAGTTAGTATATGAGCACTAGTTATAGGTTTTCGGATATTATTTGTACTTATTTGTCTCGAACTGTATAGCTTTTGTCATTCCCGCCATTAATCATTATTAGAAACCGTGCTGTAATTGTTGATTGCGGAGTTGGAATCCATAAAGAACTTGTTCAAATACGCGAAATAAAATATCGTTGCTAAACATTCTTGTCACCTTTCCTTCGTTGGTCGTCTAAGTACATTTCGCGTGAACTTCACAGTATAATCTATCAGGGATAGATCTGGATAAGAACAATTGGGATGATGTCCACTTGACAATTTATTTATAAAAATTACATCTTGAGATTTGGTCCTATTTGCCATTATGTTCTAATGGGATGGAAGGGTGTTAAATTAATATGTACAAAATGGCGTACTTCCACAATATTAATATTAGAAACGTCAATGTTGAAAAACTGGTACAATACTATAGTATAATGCTATAGAGCTAGTGCAAGGAACGGCGAAACTAGATCGAGGCGCCTCTAGCGGCGACGCGGGGAAACAAAATCGGGACAACGAATGTGGCATGTGCTTCTCCTTTTCGTAGCGTACGAATAATGTTTCTTAGAAGGCAGTGTGATTTTGAAGTAATATCTACCGAAACCCTGAGAAAAATTAATTTAAAGAAAGGAGAGAAACTGCTTTTTACAATAAATATTAGTTTGGGTACCCACATCATTACATAACTTTTCACAAAATAAGACTGCCATATTATCTGTACTATAAAGTGGTTCCCCTACATCAGTTTGTGTTCCAGTGTCATGTTTGGTGATCACAGATATGGTTTCGGTGTCCACATCCATGCTATTATCCACGCTCTCCACCTTTTCTTCTTTCCTTCTTGCCTGCCTTAAAAACCTGTCAGCATTTCCACAACCCTGTTTCTTGTAGTATGTTGGAAAAAGTGTGGGAACGTATGCTGGATGGTCAGGGTTGTCAAATTTCCGTCCACTACAAAATGCTGACTGCAGACTTTGCTGTACTTTGTGGGTTTCCAAGGTTTGTCATCTTTTCTAAAAAAAGTGTTTTTAATTTTACATATTATATTACATTACAATTATCAAGCAACTTTGGTCACGTTTTGACTAACGAATTACTTGAAATGATCTTTAATACTGTCCCTGGCTAATAATGACATCATCAAGCATTTTTTAAATTTTGTTATTTATTATCAGGATTTTAGATTTACAGAAATACGAAATGTTTTGGTATTTTTAATATTTTTAATGAGTTATTACTCAATGCACTACGTAAACAATGAGTAGTAATTTAAAGTGGACTACACCTATTTACCGTTAAAAAAAGGCGCCCTAGCAATTTACAGAGATCATTACAATACAATGCATTTAAATGTCACAGTTATATATATACACACACACAACTTTAAAAAAATACCTTCAATGAAAATACCCAACATAATACTAAATCCGCAGAATTGCAGCCAGCCATTTCTCTTTCCTTCCAGAGTATTTTTTATTCGGAAACGAATAAAACTTTGTACTGTACCTGGCGGCGCAGTAATATACGTAACACTACAACCGACCACACAACAGGTATTTTTTGAAGTTTTGTGTGGCAGAAAGCTGTGATTCATTATACAAAAAAAAAAAAAAAAAAAAAAAAATTATTACAAAGAAAATATCATTTCATATTTTTTTATCGTGTTAAATCTAAATTT